CACCCCGGGCCTCCTTTGCCCTGTTCTTGACGCACTGCTATTTCCAGCTTGTGATTTTTGCTGACATCTGTACAGCGTTTTACAGATGACAAGATGCTTGTCTCGGCCAAGGGCACAGGGAGGCCTGCCCAGGTCCACGTCCTCCAGGCCTGCCCACATCTCGTTTGCTCCTCTCAGCCCTGGGAAGTCAGTACCATGATCCCTCTTTTACCCAGGGGGATACTGAGGCTCGGGAGGGGTTATGAATTGCTGGATGTTCCAGAGCAAGCCAGTGGCAGGGTGGGGCCTGTTCCCCTGGTGGTCCAGGAGAGCAGCTGCCCACAGCAACCAGAGCTGCCTGGGGCTGGGGAGCAGCCAGAGTGGGGTGTGGCCACTGCATTTGGGTCTGGAAGAGAGGGACTGAAGCCCCCTCGAGCTCACAGGACCCTGAAGAGCTCCAGGGGGCTCAGCGGGCGGGGGTGGGGTCTGAGGGCTGAGGACCCAGGGCCCTCTTGCGCCAGCAGCGGCAGGCCCCACTAAAGACCAACACACATTTTCCATTATTTATGTTACTGCAGGACAGTCACAGTTTCCGACTCTCCAGGCTGGGGACTTTTCACAGACTCTGTTTCCACCAGAGCCTCTGCTGTGGCCTGTCTGGCCCCAGACACATCTTTCAGGTCCCATGTCCTGGGGCGGTGCCTCTAGTTCCCAAATTCGGTCCCCCCAAAGGGTTCCTCCCAGCACTGTCCTCATGCCGGTNGGGCTGGGGAGAAGCCAGAGTGGGGTGTGGCCACTGCATTTGGGTCTGGAAGAGAGGGACTGAAGCCCCCTCGAGCTCACAGGACCCTGAAGAGCTCCAGGGGGCTCAGCGGGCGGGGGTGGGGTCTGAGGGCTGAGGACCCAGGGCCCTCTTGCGCCAGCAGCGGCAGGCCCCACTAAAGACCAACACACATTTTCCATTATTTATGTTACTGCAGGACAGTCCCCGTTTCCGACTCTACAGGCTGGGGACTTTCCACAGACTCTGTTTCCACCAGAGCCTCTGCTGTGGCCTGTCTGGCCCCAGACACATCTTTCAGGTCCCATGTCCTGGGGCGGTGCCTCTAGTTCCCAAATTCGGTCCCCCCAAAGGGTTCCTCCCAGCACTGTCCTCATGCCGGTGGCAGTAAAGATGTGTGACAGTAGAGGGGTTGGTCTAGGCCACTCCAGGGGGTGCCCCTGGCGACTCCCCTGGTCCCCAAGATGAAGATAGAACGACCCCAATGGAGAGTGAAAAAGAACAGTCTGCAGCCTGGAGAAACCCCTGCAGCTCCCCCCACTCAGTGGAGGGTGGGACTCCCCATCTGAGAACGTGGGAGACGTGACAGACCCTCCCCGCCTCCACCCCCGCGGCCCTGTCCACCCTCCCTTCACATGTGTGGACACTGAGAGGCGCTAAACTACCCTCAGAACCCGAGGGCCTGAAGCGTCACAGTAGCTGGTCAGAAAGCCAGTGCCTGGGAAGCAAATCTCACCTGCCCAGGGTCCCCCCAGGGCCCCCCCAGGCCCAGCAAGGAGCTCAGAGTCAGATCAGCCCCCAGGTCCCTGGGCAGGCTGCTGCTCCCCTGCCAGCCCCCAGCCCCGCCCCTTGGCCCTCTGCCCCTGTGCCTATAGCAGGCCATCGGAGATAGAGCCCCCAACTCCACAGTGCCAGCCCAGGGCCACCTCCCCCTCACGCATCCCAAGCTGAGCTGCTCACCTTCCCCAACCCTTGCCCCCACCTTGCCCGAGGTGGGGTCCCACCTCCACCCAGGCATCCACCTGGGCTCTGGCTGACATCTGGCTTAGTCCTCTCCCCAGACCCAGTCTCCCATCGGTGCTGGCCTCTGGCTCTTTGCTTACCCCTCCGCCCCGCTCCATCCCCATGGCCACTGTCCTCCTGGGAGCTGCAACCCTCTCCTCTCCTCCTCCAGGCTGGCCTCAGCGCTGTCCATGCCTAACTCCTTCTCGGGCTCACCCATGCTTCCAGGACCCGGGGTTGGTGAGCCGCCCCCTGCCACCCTGCCTGCGTCTCATTGCTCAGTCCCCCCACCCACCTCTGCCCACCCCCCAGCTGCAACCGGCGCCCCCTCTCTGAGCTGCGCACTCGGTTGTGGCCATCACTCTCTCTGTTCCCGCATCTAGAATGCTGCTCTCGCCCCAGCCCAGGCCACCCACAAGCATCCTTCAAGGTCCACCTTTGCCCTCCCCCACCCCTGCCACCAAGTGACCCCCCACTCCCTGTCCACTTCCACACACATAGAGAGATGGGGACACTGAGGCCCAGAGAGGGGAAGGGACGTCAAGAGATGCTGAGCAGGGCTGGGCAGCAGCCTCCTGGCTCCTGCCAGACTCTGCCCCAGCCTAGCTGAGTTCTGGGTGGGAGAGGAAACTGGACCATCACCCCCCCAACCCCACCCCAGCTCGTTTATCACCTGAGTCTTTGGGGAGAGAAAAACCCAAGGAGGGCAGGGGACTTACACATCAGCCTTGACGAAGCCTTTGCCTTCAGTGTCGAACACCTTGAAGGCATGGAGAATGGTCTCCTCTGGGTCCGTGCCTAGAAGCAGCACACACAGGGCAGCGAGAGTGGCAGGGTGCAGAGGGCCCCACAGAGACAGGCGTCAGGCTGGGCAGGGGTGGGGGCAGGTCCCATGGTCCCCTGCAGAGGGGTCCCCACAGGCAGCTGTGAGGAGCTTCCTCTTCAACGTTCACTCCACAGCGAGGGCCAAGGCCACGTGAGCACCAGCAAGGAGGGCTCAGAGACAAGCAACGGTGTTAATAGACAAGGGCGCTGCGTGCACGCGGTTGTGAACAACCTGCACGAGCGTACATGGAGACCCTGCCTATGCATGTACCATGTCCTTAACCTTCCTGGCAATTGTCCCTATCTACAGATGAAGAAACTGAGGCTCGGAGAGGTTAAGTGACTTGTCCAAGGTCTTGCAGCTGATGCTGCCGCATGATCAGTGAGGTCGGGAGGGGCATCAGCTCTGGGGCTCGCTGGTTTCCCAAGCTGTGCCCAAAACGCTGTGAGTGGAGGAAAAAGAGTTCTACACTGGGGGTGGGGGGACCAAAGGCTGGGCTCAGACAGTGGCATTGGTGGGGTCTGCAAGACTGTCCCCATCAGAGGCAGGGCAGTCGGGCCAACAGGCAAAGGGAGGTTGGCGGCAGAGCAGTTCTGGTTTTATCACTTTCATAGTTTGGGGGAAGATGTCATTAGAAGACATGATTCTAATACCCATGATGGGATTGAATACCGAGCCTCCTCGTTGTACTGATGGGGAAACTGAGGCCCGGAGAGAGGAAGCATCTGGCCCAGGGTGACTGAGCCTGGCACATGCTGGCCCTGCAGGCCTGGAGCTCCTGGAAGACAGAGATGTAGGTATGCTGTGGGCAGGGTGGCAGGGAGCCGGTGTTCCCGGCCCAGAGGCTCAGCCCAGGATCCGGCTGGGGCTGGGTCCAGGCCCTCACAGTGGGGATTGGGGGCAGCTCCAGGCCGTTGAGGGCTGAGCAGCCAAAGGATCGTGATGGAGGCTGGTGTGGGGTGTCTGCCTCTGGGGCCACAGCCTGCCAGGTTTCAATGATTAGCTGAAAATTATTCCTGATGTCTTTGAAGAAGCCTCGGTGCTGGGGCAGGTTTGTGACCGGCTCCAGCCCACCCTCCTGAAGACAATGCACATGGACTTGGTTAGCTCAGGCCGAGCTGCAGGACACTCACCACGGCCCCACTGTTCCCTGTCACGGGTGTCTGGGAGGCTGGGCGGGCCATCCTCCCCTCCCTCCCTCCTCCCCAGAGAGCGCCTCTGCTCTGGGGACTGCAAACCTCGTAAAATGGGCAGCAGAGTGGCTGCTCCCCCCATCGTTGTTGGGGACCTCATGACAAAGTCTCCTCGTCCCAATTAGCAGGATGAGGCGGTGTCTGCCCCAACTCCCTGCCCTCCCGGCTCCTGTCCCCTACCGCTGGCCTCTCTTGTAGGCTGGGACAAGTCTGCATGACAGGCTCAGCTGGAGCCCCCGTCCCGGCGCCCTGCAAAAATGAGAAAAAGCTGCTGCCCTGCAGCCTGCAGCAGGCCCTGGGTCACAGTTCCAGCTCAGCCACAGACTGACACAAACTGGAGGCCTCAATCTCCCATCTGTAAACCAGTTTGAGGCCCACCATGAGCTGAGAAAGAGCCCTGTCCCCTTCTCCTGAGCACCCCTGGATGGTCTCACTGTTTCCTGCTCTTAAAAGCAGGGTCCCCTCAGCTCACCCCCGACACACACACCACCAGCATGGGAGATGCCTGTTGCCTTGTCACCTGGGCCAGGCCCTGTGCTGTCCACCCTGGCAGACCCGAAGGCCGTTTCCCCAGGCCCTCCCACTGGCCTCCAACCAGTTTCCCTCTATCATGTTCCTCTGGATGAAAGACCGAGGCTGCTCATCTGCTGCCATTAAAGTCGCTGGCTGGAGTCCCACGTGTCTTTCCCACAGTGCACGGCCCCTGCCCCAGCCTCCTGCACTTCTAAACAGTTCCGGGAGGTGGCATGGTCCTGGGAATCACCCCTAACAGATGCCTGGAGGTGGTCCAAAGCCTGCCCCAGATGAGGGTGCCTGCCCTCTCCCGTCCTCAGTTTCCTCATCTCTAACACCCAGGTCCGTCATCAACCTCCTTCTAGGTGTAGTCAGCCAGGACATTGTGCGAGGAGGCTACTGGCCTCTCCCGTGGGTCACGGCCCATGAGAGAATTGATAACCCACCCAGGAAAATCTGTGATATTCAATAGGACTGCTCTATAGTGGTTGAATGGTGGCCCCCCAAAAGATACCCCCACGAGAGCCTGTGGATGTCCCTTATTCAGATAAAGGGACTTGCAGATGGGAGCTGAAGATTTTGAGAATGAGAAGATCATCCTGGATTATCCAGCTAGGCCCTAAATCCAATGACAAGTGTCCTTATAAGAGGGAGGCAGAGGGAGATTAGACAGGAGAGGGGGGGCCTTGTGACCTCGGGTACAGAGGCGCGAAGCGGCCCCTGGAAGCGGAAGATGCAAATTGCGGGTTGTCCCCGGGAGCTTCAGGCAGCTCAGCCCAGCCTGGACTTCAGACGCCCAGACTCCAGAGCCATGAGAATTCATTTCTGCTGTTTGAGCCACCAAGTTTGTGGTGATTTGTTACAGCAGCCTCGGGAAACTAATATACCTCCATTTTACAGATGCAAAACTGAGAACAGGATGCAGATGAGCCTGTTCAAGGCCACCTTGGGGGTCTCCAGGAGGCCAGGTCTTGACCCCAGACCTAGCTGAGGGAGGGAGGCCAAGGCAGGACACCAGGCAGGGGTGGCCTGAGGGCGGGTGACAACAACACCCGCCTCCCAGGCTGGCTCTTCCTTCTGACCATGGAGACCTCAAGTTCAGGGGACGTCATTAAAGGGGCCAGGAGAGAAAGGGGACAGAGATGGCCCCCACCCCTGCCCCAGGCCTGATGCAGGTCTCAGGAGAGTACAATGGTTAGAGCCAGGGGTCGGGGTTGCAGCTGCATCCTGGCACTTGTTTGCAGGGGTACGTGGGGCAGATGTCACAACCTAAGCCTGAGACACCTCATTCATGAGTGAGACTCCCTGGGGGCTGCGGTGGCTACAGAATAAGACCAGTGAAGTAACCTGTCCAGCTCCGGGCTTGGCCAAAGTAGCTTTTGGAGCCACCCAGCCCCCTTTTCCCGTCTTCCCCATCAGCAAGGAACAATGAAGCAGAACAGACCAAATGAGCCCACAGGAAGGGAGGTGGGTGGGACTAGGGGAGCAAGGTGGGGGGCACCGGCCTGACGTGGGCAAAGTGCTCCCAAGGCAGGTTTTTATAGTTAACTCCATCTGCAGTGCAGAGGTAGAAACTGAGGCAGGCCCTGGAAGGTGTGTGCACCCAGGGTTCGTGTCGGGGGCCACACCTTGCTCCCAGCTATGGTGAGTGTGCCAGGGTGGGGGTGGGGGATAGGTCCGCACAAAGGACCCCGCCAGCCCACACCCACCCCTACCCTGTCCCCAGAGCCCCTTGGAGCCCGACTCACCCTTCAGCTTCTCCCCAAACATGGTCAGGAAGACGGTGAAGTTGATGGGCCCGGGAGCCTCCTTCACCATGGCCTCCAGCTCCTCGTTCTTGACGTTGATGCGGCCTGGGGGACGAGACCCAGGAGCTTAATGGGGCTAGAGGAGATCCCATCTGCAGCAGCCCCGGAGAGCAGCGCTCGGGACCATCGAGGGTCCTGCAGAGTCTCCCAGCTCCACTGTCGCCCCCGACCCCCACTCAGCCCCAGGGCCCTGCCCACCTGTTGGGAGACCCTGTGGGGGAGCATTCAGCCCACGGTCAGCACCGGGCTGCCCCAGCCTCACCCCTGCCCCCTGTCTCCACCTCAGCCTCCCCGGAAAGGAGAGCAACTCGGTCCTTATCCCCATATTACAGATGAGGAAACTGGGGCACAGAGAAGCTGCAGCTGAAGTGCACAGGGGCTGACGGCCTGGGCCTCGGGGCTCATGTGCCCTAGGAGGGCGGCAGCGGGCTGCTTGGAGGTGGGGACTCTGGGAGTCCCCGTGGTCCCAGCAGACACTCAGATTCTCAGGCACTCAAGGCTCAGGCCAGAGATGACTTTGTTATGCCCCCCTCCCCCACCTCAACCCCCCCATGGTGCTTTAAGGCCTTTCACTGGTCTCTTAGAGGGTGCAAAAGCCTCCCTGGAAGTGGAAACTTCCCTGCCCCCAGCTTCTCCCCCTGCTCTTTCTGCCCCTCACCACACCCAGCCCGCCTACGCCCGGCCTTTACACGGGCACCCTGCCCTTGAAATTCCCTCCTCTTCCACGGCCATGTCCTCCTCCAACACCAGGAACCTTCCCTGACCTTCCAGGCAGCAGCTGACCCACCTCTGCACCCCCCAAGCACCCAAGCCCCTCATGCCGCCAGCTGCCCTCTCTTTCAGGGTGGCCTGGACTCGGCTCCTCCCCAAGCCTCAAACTGCCCTGGCTGCTGGGTCACCCACCCAGAGCAGCAAAGGTGTCCCTCAGGTCCTCCTTGTCGATGAAGCCATCCCGGTTCTGGTCCATGATGGTGAAGGCCTAGCAGAGACACAGGCACTGAGCAGCTGCCCTCCCGCCCATGCCCAGCCACACCCCCCGGGCGCCCTCCCCCAAGGGCCACCCTCCTGCCAACTGCTGCTGGAGGAACCTCAGCGCAGCCCCTCTGGCCCCCCAGCTCCCCAGCTTAGCAGGAACAGCAGCGTGGGAGTTGTGGTCAGTCCTCTCCGAGCTCCTGCTGTATTCACGCTGCAGGGCTCCAGACCCACTCCATCATTTCAGGGTCTCAGCAGCCCCAGTTTCCAGAGAGGAAAACTGAGGCCCAGAGAGAGAATGGCCTTACTCCAGGTTCTGAGGCATGCCATGGTGGCCTCAAAGAATAATGACAACATCACCAGCCCCAGGCGACTGAGCACTGACCCTGTGTCAGGCCCCTAATTGATTTTCGTGAGCTCTGTTAACCTTCCTAGTGGCCCCATGGGCAGCTGACCAACCTCTTTAAACTCCTGGATCTGGGACTGATCAAACATGGAGAAGACGTTGGAGCTGGCTGCGCCTTCTGCTCTTTTCCGGGCTCTTCTTGGTGCCTGCGAGATACCAGATGAGGCCTCGCAGTGGTCCCTTCCTCATGAGGTCACCCCGCCATGCCTCATCTCCCACAGCTTTGCAGTCCTGAATGACAACGCCCCCCCAGGGACCTTTCCCTGAGCAGCCATCATTAGAGCCCCTGGCGCAGTGAGTCCCAGAACTGGCTCTTTTTTTTTTTTTTTTTTCTTTTTGTCTTTTTTCGTGACCGGCAGTGGATCGCAACCCTCAGTGTTGCGCCAGTACCGGACTGGGACCGGCAACGGGATCGCAACCCTCGGTGTTGCGCCCGCACCTTGCTCAGCCAGTGAGCAGGAACCGGTCTGTATGTGGGATCCGAACCCTCGGCGGGAGCGCCGCTGCGCTCCCAAGCGGCGCACTGTAGCAGTGCGCCACCGGGCGGCCCAGAACTGGCTCTTGATGGGGGAAAAGAAGGGCGTGGGCTCTGCGAGGGGAGAGGTGCATGGAGGGCCCAGATGTGGGCCCCACCCCAGCCCTGTCTGCACCAGCCTCTCTGCCAAGACCTCGTCTACCCCCCAGCCTGGGCTCCCCCCACCCCATCCCCAGTGCCTGTGTGGTCTCCCCTCCCCCACTCACTCCTGTCCCCCCCACCCCCGCACTCTCCCCCACTTCCTGGGCCCACATCAGGAACAGCAGTGCCCGCCTGACTTATAATTAGCTTTTACTGGGTGCTTTGTCTCCACTAATCCTTTGAAAGGGGGCTGGCAGGGCAGCTGGGACATTATGATGCTGTAAAACCTCTGTAATATTTATAAATCCCTTTAGACATCATAAAGAAAAGAATTTCCCCGCAGAGTTCATCTCCCATAATTACATATACATTTCCCTCTGATTAATAAAAAATGATCACTTCCGTCTGTGGGATATTCTGCCCTTCTCCCTCAGACCTGCCCTCGGCCCCGGCGTCCTCCACCCCGGCCTCAGCCCAGCCTTTCCTGGCCCCCTTGCTGCAGGTTGCCTTACTGTGTTCCTGAGCTCTGCAAGGGAGGAGGGAACGTTTTCTCTGACTGCACAAGGGGGACCCTGGCTGGGCTTCTGATCTCCCAACCAGGGCTCTTTGCAGCCCAGCTGTCTTGGAAATTCCCTTTTATAAACGGGTCCCTGAAATATAAAATTCTTCTGAAAGGAACACCCCAGGGAAGAAGGGGGTCACTCAGACCTGGGTTTAAATCCTGGCTTTGCTGCTCATAGCCTCTGTGATGTTAAGAAATTCGCTTGCCCTCTCTGAGCCTCAGTTTCCCCATTTATAAAACCAAGAGAACGCCTACCTCAAATGCCTGCTGACATTTATTAGACACCTGCTGACCTCCACTCAGGCCCTGTGCCCAGTCCTAGGGGACCCAGCGCTGAGTCAGGCCCCATCCTTGTCCCCAAAGAGCTCACAGTCCAGCTGGAGATGGGCAATCAGCAGAGGGGGGAAGGCAGGCACTGAGGACACAGAGGAGCCCCGCACCACTCGCTACTCGGTGGCAAGCTGAGACTTGATGGCTGAGTCAGAATTCTCAGGCCAAAAAGGACTGATGAGGGCGGCTGAGGCTCAGGTATGAAACATCAGCAAGACTGAGAGCCTGCGGGGAGACCAGGGGCTGGAGCTCGGGGGCAGCAAAGGGCAGCCCCATGCAGCCTACAGGACAAGAGCAAAGACAGGAAGGACCCACAGCTCCTGAGCAGCCACGCTGCCCCGAATACCAACCCCCGACCCTCCAACAGGACCCACGTCCTCTCAGCCAGAGCAGAGCCCCAACCCCTGCTGCAAAGCACCAAGCCTGGCCCCCCACCCCTCTCTTCTTCCCTCCACCCCTCTCTTCCTCGTCCCCTCACTGTCACCTCGGCAGCCCCCACCAAGTCCAGGAAGGCGGAGACTCACATCAGGACCCAGATGAATGGACTGGCCACTCATTAAGGGGAGCCCAGGTCAGACCGGGGACAACATCAGGTCAAGGTCAAGAATGTCAGCGAAAGGAGCAAGGTCAAGGTCAGAGTGAGTTCAGGCATGAAGTCAAGGTCAGAATCACAAATTAAGTCAAGGTCATGGGATGAGGTCAGAGTTGAGGAATGAGGTCAGGATTGAGGTCAGGGTTGGGAGGGTGACCCTCATGGGTGGGAGGGAGGGGACCGCAGTACTGAAGCCTCAGTGGAGCTCCCTGGGGAGGAGACACAGGTGCAGGGAAGGCGGCCGTGGAGGGAGGCAGGGCAGCCCCAGCCTACCATGGTCTGGACGCTCCCTCGCTGCAGCAGGGCTGGGGCAGCCCAGGGCAAGCTCGTTAAATAGTGCTCCTCCCGGGCTGGCAACACTCCAGGTCCAGACAACAGTTTGGAAGGTGACAAAAGACAGGATGGGGGCCTCCCTGCCAGGCATCTGCCTTGGGCCTTTCAGAGTGGGTGGGGTTGTGGGATCCTTGAGCAAAAAACACGGCGCTCCCTCGCTGCAGCAGGGCTGGGGCAGCCCAGGGCAAGCTCGTTAAATAGTGCTCCTCCCGGGCTGGCAACACTCCAGGTCCAGACAACAGTTTGGAAGGTGACAAAAGACAGGATGGGGACCTCCCTGCCAGGCATCTGCCTTGAGCCTTTCAGAGTGGGTGGGGTTGTGGGATCCTTGGGCAAAAACCACGAATCCAGAGACCGCCTAAGCCACCAGGATCTCCGCGAGCTCTCAGCCAACTATTTTCTCCATGGACAGGGGACCAAGGCCCAGGAAGAGGCATCTGGCCAAGGACACACAGTAAGTTGAGGTCTGCCACCAGTTGGGAAGGCTTGGCTTCAGGCTCTGGAGGGTCAGGGAGAGGTCTCTGAGGCAGGGCCACCCACACCAGCTGATGACACTCAGACTGTAATGTGGCTAGACCTCTTGATCTGTGTGACTCTGGGTTGGGACACCATCCTTTAGGAGGCTCAGTCCTCTCATAGGATCAGTAGAGAGGACAAGACATCCCCTGGTTTGCTTGTGGAGAGGGTGCCTGCATCAGCCTGGCCTGCAGGATCCCCCCATCCAACACGCCTATTGCTCTGTGGTTAGCATTCCCTCCATTACCCCAGCCTGGGGGGCCCTGGGGACATTAAAAATGCCCCAAGTGTTGAGAAAGCAAAGAGACAAACAAAAGAGAAATGGAGTGACCCTGAGGAGGAAGTGAAAGCCGGACCTCCATCACACCCTCGCCTCACACACACTCCAGAGGGATGAGGCCCGTCCCCACCAGGCCTGGCCCGCACGGGAACTCTCCAGTAGATATGCCAGACAGTGCCCACACCTGCCCCTGGTGGTACCTGCGTGTCCAGTGCAGCCCTGGCAGCCCCGGCTCAGCCTCGATGGCAGCCCCCGTCCATCTGAGCAGCTGGACCTGCCACATCTGGTCGGCTGCCAGGGCCGGCAGTGCTGGCTTCAAGCCGGAAGCCCACCAGTCCCCGGAGCTGGAGAGCTTAACTGTCCCCAGAGCTGGCCTGGGGCCTGGAGGCCCCAGGACAGCTGATCCCCTGCCCTGGGGGAAGGAAGTGTGATAATCAGAAGAGGAGCTAACATGTAGAAACACAGAAGGTCAGGCTGTTACAACGCGTGTATCTTCACAGTCAGTCCTTACCCCATTTTCCATGAGAAGAAACTAAAGCACACATGGGGTAAGTCACTCATCCAAGGCCAGTAAGAGATGGTACCAGAATGTGAGCCCCGCTTTCTAGTGGTTCCAGAAGGAAGCTTCCAGAAGCTTCTGCCCATTCAAACGCTCCCCTCCCGCTGCTCCTCTCCCAGTCGTCCCTAACTACAGCCAACTCTGACCAGCCCCTCTGACGTCCCTGAGCACCTGTGCTGGAGCCCTCCCCTCAGAGCTAGAGCTGGGGCCAGGCCCTGCTATGCCAACCCCTGACAAGGCTCCTCTCCTGGCGTCCCCCCAGGGGGACTGGCCACACGCTCCGCAGGTGTTCAGCAGGCCAGGGTGAAGGGGAACCTGGCTCTGGGCATAGGATCCCTGGATTCCAGTCCCCAACCCCCTCGACCTGCTGTGGGAGATAGGCTGTGTGACCACGGCAGGTGTCTGCCCCTTTCTGGGCCTGTGCAGTGAGACAGGTGGCTGCCGTCTGCACCAGCTGAGGGGTGCAGTCTTTCCTTGCCCAGCTTGTGAGTGGCCCGGGGGCCTCCTGGCTCTGGGCTTGCTGAGTGGGGACAGAGGAAGCCATCTGTGCTGTATGACTCCTGATCGGCCTGCTTCCTGCCTCTGGCTTCCTGCTGGCCCGAGGCCTCCTCCTGCAGGGGCCAATGCCCTAAGCTCTTGCCTCCAGGGACAGCTACCTAGGACCACGGAGGGGCTCCTGGAAGCCCAGAACAGTCCTGAGCCAACGGGAGCTGCCCAGTCTGCCCGCAGGAGGTAAAGAGAAGAGAGAATCAGGGCGATCACAGCAGGGGCAGGGGCTGGGAAGGAGGGTACACCAGGGGGCTTTGGGGAAAGACAGACCTTCCCTTAATTGTCCTCAAAATCTCAGTCATCCCACCTGGTAATTAGAGAGTTGATGGATGTGAGAGACAGTCTCCCGTGGGGGAAGAGAGAGAAAGAGGGTAACGGGCTGGAAGTCAGGGTCTGCCTGAAACAGTCCCCGTTGGTGGGGGCCTGGCCCGACCACTGGCCCCAGTCAGCTCTGGCCCATCAGGAGCCTTAATAGTCTCCTCAGCACGGCTGCAGGATGGTGGGGGCTGTGCTCATCCCCAGTCAGGACAGAGATGGAATAAGAGATGGGGGCAGGGGCAGGCAAATGGTGCTCCGTGGCTTTGGGCATTTTCTGTGGACCCAGCTGTTCTCTGTCCTTGGGCCATGGGGGTCTAAGGGGAGCCATGGTGCAGCGCCCGCCCCCACCATTGGCATGGGTGTCACTGTGCCTATCATACATTCTGGAGGTGATGTGTCTCTTGGCTCAGTCTCTTGTCACAGATAACCATGTCCTCTGCCAGTGACTGGACAGGATTTGTGGCCACAGTTTGTAAGCACTTATTGTGTTCCAGGCACAGTGTTAAAATCCCACAACAAACTTGCCAAGCAAAAATGACTGCTCCACATGACAGGTGAAGAAATGGAGGCCACAGGGAAAGTCAGTGATGTGTGTGAGGTCACAGAGATGCAGGCCCAGCAGCACTCGGACCAGTTCTATCTGATTCCAAATTCACGCACTAGTCTTCCCACGGCCCCCAGAGACTGTGGCTGTGCTGCTGGTCCCTGCAGATCATGTTTAAGTCTCACCATGTTGGTTATTACTTATTGCTACCTAAAGAATCACCCCCAAAGCAGAGTGGGCTACTCACAGGTTCTCTGGGTCAGAAATTCAGAAAAGGCATGTGAGCACGGTTTGTCATAACATCTAGAACCTCAGCTGGGAAGGCTCTGAGGCTGGGGGGAAGGGATGGCCAGCATGGGAACCCTCTGAAGGCTGATCACTCCCATGTTTGGCTCTTCCATGTGGCCTCTCCATGTGCCTCGGGCTTCCTTACAACATGGCGGCCTCATGGTAGACTTGCCACACAGTGGCTTGGGCCTCCAGCACAAATGTCCCAGCAAATAAGGGGAAAGCTCCATGACTTTCAGGACCTAAACTCAGAAGTCACACAGTGACACTTCTACCCCACTCTCTTGGTTGAAGCAGTCACAAGAGCCTGCCCAGTGGCAAGGAAAGATGACGTAGACACCGCCTCTCAATGGGAAGAGCATTGAGGAGTTTACAGACACATTTCACAACCACTACTCCCACCCAGCGTAGGCTCAGGGAGGCTCAGAAAGTGGCTGAGGTCACAGGCCTGGTAGGTAGAACTGGAATTCAGATCCAGGCCTGAGGAACACTATCCCACAGCCACATATGCGAGTCCAGGGTGGGACAGTCTGGCAGGTGGTGGCTGTCTGTCCATAGCCAGGAAGGCGCCTGAGTTTGGAAAAGGGCCTGAGAAGAGAAGGGAGAGGTCAGGCCCCTTCTCCTGCTGAGAACAAGCTTCAGAGTAGACCCAGCCCCCTCTGACCCGGCCTGGACTGGGGACATCCCCTCTGAAACTTGGTGTCCTGCTCTTCCCTTTCTTGAGTCCCTGAACCAAGCCCTGAGCAAGAGGGGAGGTTGCTGCCTTGTCCTGCCTCTCTGTGAGGACAGCTGTGGACACCGAGGCTCAGCGAGGTGAAGGGCCTCACAGCAACAAGGGGTGGCGGGCTGTGCCTCCCCTGCCCACTGTGACTGGGGGGAGGGGGAGGGGCTGTGGGTTCTAGGGTCCACGCATTCCCCAAGTCCAGGTTGGTGTTTCTGTGGGGGCTCAGAGCAGAAGAGAATGCTGGGGTGGAGGAGGATGAGGGGCCTGCCTGGAGGAGGGGCGGGGGTGCTGGGCTGTGCTGATGGTGGAGGTTCAGCCCCCAGTTCCCTTTCTTTCCCCCAAGAGCCAGTTGGACCCATCCCACTGGCCAGCTGAGGAAATTGAGGCCTGGAGGGTCTGTTCAAGGTGCCACCACACTTCCAGCCAGGACCTTGCCTATCCCGTCCCCTAAGGGATACCTGGGAGCCAAACAGCTGGGAAGTCCGGTGGGCTGTCCCCCAATCTTGGGGCATCCCTGACGCAGATGCAGGTGGTGGCTCAGGCAGTGCCCAGTCTCAGGCCCTCCCGGGGCCTGGAGGCTGCCAGACAGGCCCAGTTTGCTGCTACTGGGTGCTTTATGCTGCTCGGGACCTCCGCACACTGTCTCCTGCAAGCCAGGCCAGCAGCAAATGAGCACACTGTAATAATGCCAAAGCACGTCCTGCTGCCTGGCCTCAGACCCTGGCTCTGAGCAGGATCCGTCAGAGACTGGGCCTGCAAGGTGAGCCGTTGTTAACCCTCACCCTGAACACAAGTAGNGCCCGAGGCCTCCTCCTGCAGGGGCCAATGCCCTAAGCTCTTGCCTCCAGGGACAGCTACCCAGGACCACGGAGGGGCTCCTGGAAGCCCAGAACAGTCCTGAACCAGTGGGAGCTGCCCAGCTTGCCCGGAGGAGGTGAAGGGAAGAGAGAATCAGGGCGATCACAGCAGGGCTTAGCAGCGCTTAGCAAACCTGTCCCCACATTTCCTTCCCTGTCCTCCTTCTCTTATGAAGACAGGAAGAGCGTCTGGTGGAGACAGTGGAAAGCCCGGGGTGAAATGGTTGGGTAGCATTTGTCCCTGGGGAGGGGAGTGTGGGGAAGGGGGGAGGGTGCAGAGACCTGAGAAGGAGGAGCTGTGGCTTCTGTCCTTGCTGTGGAAGCTGAGCTCAGCCACACACAGACCTTCAGTCTTCCCCATCTGAGAAATGGTTCCAGCAACCCAGACCCCTTGAAGCTGCCATCGGGCAGCCTAGTGCCATTGGAAGGGGAGGTCCCCCCCACAGAAGGAGTCCCTGACAAAACTCATAGGCTCTCTAACCTGCAGTTCCCTTGCAGCCGAATGGGGTCCCACTGTTTGACTGAACTGACCATAGGGCAAAGGCCAGTTCCTGGTGTCAGGGACACTCCCAAAGGATCTCTGCTCCCAGCCAGGGAATTCATGGGAGCAGGTAGCCTCTGGAACTGGGATTCCAGGTCTGCCCAGGGTTGAGTCAGAGGAATACTTAGCCCCTTGCAAGGAGCACACCCCCTTCCCAGAGGTAACCTGATGTCCTGGGAGTGACCAAGCCAGGCTGGGAGCTTGGAAAAGGACCAGTTGCCTTTGGACACAGCCACCTCCTTGCAGGGTGACAGCTGTCACTCAGATCACACCAGAGCAAGCTGGGGTAGGTGACCACCACTTTCAACCCCCACCCCCAACCTCTCACCTCTAATTCCTCAGGGTCAGCAGGCTGTCCCCAGCCCCCAAACCCCAAGCCCTTGGTCCCTGTCCTGGCCAGCCACCACCTTGACCTCCACTGTTCTCCAAACACTTCCCGAAATCCCCTTCCTCCAAGCTTTGCCAGGCTCGCTCCATTATCACTTCCCCACCCTCCTGCCTGCCTCAGGTCACCTCTCACCTCCCCCCACCCCAAGGCTTCCCTCCCCTCCCCTCCCCCACCGGAATCATTGTCTCTGCTCTTCTGAGCAGGATCACCTGCCTTTGCCTTGGCCTTAGGGCCTTACCACCCAGGACCCTTGGCCTCCACCACCTGGCCTCCTAGGAACACAGAGAGGCCTCAGAATTGCAGCTCTGAGAGCCCCCACCCAGGCTCTCACACAAGCCCTGTTTGCTTTTCCCCCCCGCAATGGCTCCTAGAGGCTTGTTGGTACACAGCCTTCCACGTGGGGGAATCACTGTTGGAGACTTTCCGGCCAGCAGGACTCAGAGTCCCAGTGGAATCCATCGGCCTGAGTCAGCCTCCAGATGCTGAGTGTCCCTTGCAGCCTCCCATCAAGTGGCCCTGGCTTGTGCACCAGCTGTGACAGGGAGCTCACCCCTTCCCACGTGGATCTCAAAGGCAGCTCAAATTGGCAAATGCTCGTTGGTGGTCTACTGTGGCCTTACACCAGGTGCTCTGAGAGACTAGGA